GAAAGATCTCTCTGTATTAGGGACACAGAATCGTTACTTAGGGACACAGAACCGTTACTTAGGGACACAGAACCGTTACTTAGGGACACAGAAAACCGTTACTTAGGGACACAGAACGTTACTTAGGGACACAGAACCGTTACTTAGGGACACAGAACCGTTACTTAGGGACACACAATCGTTACTTAGGGACACAGAACCGTTACTTAGGGACACACAAACCGTTACTTAGGGACACAGAATTGTTACTCAGGGACAGACACAGAATTGTTACTCAGGGACAGACACAGAATTGTTACTGAGGGACACAGAATTGTTACTGAGGGACACAGAATTGTTACTGAGGGACACAGAATTGTTACTCAGGGACACAGAATTGTTACTCAAGGGACACAGAATTGTTACTCAGGGAAAGACACAGAATTGTTACTGAGGGACACAGAATTGTTACTGAGAGGGACACAGAATTGTTACTGAGGGACACAGAATTGTTACTCAGGGACAGACACAGAATTGTTACTGAGGGACACAGAATTGTTACTGAGGGACAACAGAATCGTTACTCAGGGACACAGAATTGTTACTGAGGGACACAGAATTGTTACTGAGGGAAACAGAATTGTTACTGAGGGACACAGAATTGTTACTCAGGGACAGACACCAGAATTGTTACTGAGGGACACAGAATTATTACTGAGGGACACAGAATTGTTACTAGGGACAGACACAGAATTGTTACTGAGGGACACAGAATTGTTACTCAGGGAACACAGAAATTGTTACTCAGGGACACAGAATTGTTACTCAGGGACACAGAATTGTTACTCGGGGACACAGAATTGTTACTCAGGGAAACAGAATTGTTACTCAGGGACCAGACACAGAATTGTTACTGAGGGACACAGAATGTTACTGAGGAACACAGAATTGTTACTGAGGGACACAGAATTGTTGCTCAGGGACACAGAATTGTTACTCAGGGACAGACACAGAATTGTTACTGAGGGACACAGAATTGTTACTCAGGGACAGACACAGAATTGTTACTGAGGGACACAGAATTGTTACTGAGGGACACAGAATTGTTACTCAGGGGACAGACACAGAAATGTTACTGAGGGACACAGAATTGTTACTGGGGACACAAAATTGTTACTGAGGGACACAGAATTGTTACTCAGGACACAGAATTGTTACTCAGGGACACATAATTGTTACTCAGGACAGACACAGAATTGTTACTGAGGGACACAGAATTGTTACTGAGGGACACAGAATTGTTACTCAGGGACAGACACAGAATTGTTACTGAGGGACACAGAATTGTTACTGAGGGACACAGAATCGTTACTCAGGGACACAGAATTGTTACTCAGGACACAGAATTGTTACTCAGGGACACAGAATTGTTACTGAGGGACACAGAATTTGTTACTGAGTGGACACAGAATTGTTACTCAGGGACACAGAATTGTTACTCAGGGACAGACACAGAATTGTTACTGAGGGACACAGAACTGTTACTGAGGACACAGAATTTTACGAGAACTCAGGTACAGACACAGAATTGTTACTGAGAGGGACACAGAATTTTACTGAGGGACACAGAATTGTTACTCAGGGACACAAATTGTTACTCGGGGACACAGAATTGTTACTCGGGGAAACAGAATTGTTACTCAGGGACAGAACACAGAATTTTACTGAGGACACAGAATTGTTACTGAGGGACACAGAATTGTTACTCAGGGACACAGAATTGTTACTCAGGGACAGACACAGAATTGTTACTGAGGGACACAGAATTGTTACTCAGACAGACACAGAATTGTTACTGAGGGACAGGAATTGTTACTGAGGGGACACAGAATTGTTACTGAGGACACAGAATTGTTACTGAGGGACACAGAATTGTTACTCAGGGACAGACACAGAATTGTTACTGAGGGACACAGAATTGTTACTGGGACAGACACAGAATTGTTACTCAGGGACAGACACAGAATTGTTACTGAGGGACACAGAATTGTTACTGAGGGACACAGAATCGTTACTTCAGGGACACAGAATTGTGTTACTGAGGACACAGAATTGTTACTGAGGGACACAGAATTGTTTACTCACGGTCCGGGACACAGAATTGTACTCAGGGGACAGACACAGAATTGTTACTGAGGGACACAGAATTGTTACTCAGGGACAGACACAGAATTGTTACTGAGGGACACAGAATTGTTACTCAGGGACACAGAATTGTTACACTCAAGACACAGAATTGTTACTCAGGACACAGAATTGTTACTGAGGACACACAGAATTGTTACTCAGGGACAGACACAGAATTGTTACTGAGGGACACAGAATTGTTACTGAGGGACACAGAATTGTTACTCAGGGACACAGAATTGTTACTCAGGGACAGACACAGAATTGTTACTCAGGGACAGACACAGAATTGTTACTGAGCGAGACACAATGTTTTGTTACTGAGGGGACACAGCATTGTTACTCATGGAACAGGACACAGAATTTTACTGCCCTGGACATCAGAATTGGAAACTGAGAGGGACTCAGAATTGTTACTGAGGGACACAGAATTGTTACTCATGGACACAGAATCTGTTACTCAGGACACAGAACTTGTTACTCGGGACCAAAGAATTGTTACTCAAGGACAGACACAGAATTGTTACTGAGGGACACAGAAATTTGCTTTACTGAGGACACAGAATTGTTACTCAGGAACAGACACAGAATTGTTACTGAGGGACACAGAATTGTTACTCAGCGGGACACAGAATTGTTACTCAGGGGACACAGAATTGTTACTCAGGGACGAGACCACAATTGTTAGTCATGGACGCTAGACTACAGAATGGGACTGAGGGACACAGAATTGTTACTGAGGGGACAACAAATTGTTACTCAGGGACAGACACAAATTCGTTTACTGAGGGACACGAATTGTTCTGAGGACACAGAAGTGTTACTGTGAGGACACAGCGAATTGTTACTCAGGGACACAGACTGTTACTCAGGGACACAAAATTTTGACTGAGGGACACAGAATTGTTTACTCAGGGACACAGAATTATCGTTTACTCAGGGACAGACACAGATTTTGTACTGAGGGACACAGAATTGTTACTGAGGGACACAGAATTGTTACTGAGGGACAACTCAGAATTGTTACTGTAGAGGACACACAGAATTGTTTTACTGAGGACACAGAATTGTTCCTCAGGACAGACTACAGAATTGTTTTACTGAGGACACAGAATTGCTACTGAGGGACACAGAATTGTTCCTGAGGGGACACACAAATTGTTACTCAGGGGACACCACAATTGTTACTCAGGGACACACAATTGTTACTGAGGGACACAGAAATGTTACTCCAGGGACACAGAATTGTTACTCAGGACACACCAATTGTTACTCAGGGAACACAGAATTGTTACTTCAGCAGACACAGAATTGTTACTGAGGGGACACAGAATTGTTTTACTCAGGGACCACAGGGAATCGTTGAATTAAGAAAGTATGTCAGACAACACGCATTTAGGAGTGGCAGAGGAGGCAATGTTTTAGGAGCGAGCAGACGTGCAAGCAGAGGAAGGGGTCGAGGCAGCACTAGTCGCAGCCAGAGGCCAGTGTGCTCCCGGTGTCATCCAGCGGGGTCGTGTCTCCACCGCTACACCCTGCCGTCATCGATTTGGTTGGCTCGGTCGTCTTATTTCCCAGGTCCACCATTCCTCTACACCTACAGCCAACGGTCGTGTGTGTACGTCAGACACAACCGTTAGTTGGCAGTGGCCCGGGAGCAAAGCCCACTGAATCACGTGTTGTCCTCTACCTTAGCCCCTGTCCATGCTTGTGTGTTTTCCCTCAACCAAGCGAAGTATCGCATGCTGTGGGCTCAGCCCCACTTTGTACATGAGGAAGAGCAACAGAGGGCGGTCAGAACGGGGGGAGACATCCGCCTCTCTTCAGCCACTGCCAGAAGTACTTGGCTAGGAAGGCTCGGTAACTTAGGTCATAGAGACAGGCCTGTCTCCTCCCACATCGCAGGCAAGCCGAGGGGCTAGTATGAGGCGGAGACCCAAATTCGATGATGATCTTGTATCCCAATCGCACTTACCCAGCCCCGTCATCAGGCTTTGCTTCCGCATCATCAGGAGAAGAGGGTGCCAGCTTGGCAGCGAGCAAAACAGTCGTGGGTTGCCCAGGAGGGCAGCAGGGTCGCGGCAGTGTCAGTGGAGGCAAACGGCCACGGAGTAGACCAGCTCCTCACTGCAGCCTACCACCACGGCCATGGGTGCCCCTGTGCACGCCAGGAAGTAGCAGTCAGCCAGTGAGGAGTAAGCGGGGCAAAGTTTCCTACTCGGCGGTTCTCCCTTATTTTTTTCGTCAAGCCACCCCCGCCCTGGAAGTAAACGTAGCCGTATCCGACTATGAGTGCCAAAAGTCAAGCGGGCCATTTCCATCCCATGTTGGACTCCACATGTTTGCGTCAGCATATGCACAGCGTCGCCATTTGGTGCTTGCCTGGGAAAACCGTGATAAAGATGCCACGGCGGTTCTGCCCCTGCCTCCTCATGCTGCTGCCAGGTCCAGAGTGTCTCATGGGTCCCCTGTACGGCCTCCCATTGCTGCTGTCTCCATCGCCACACTCTGCCATGTGCCACTTTTCAGGTCTCCTCACACTGCTGGTGGGTTCCATTTTGTCATAGGGTGCTGGCAGATTACGGGCCCTCCCATTGCTGCTGCCAGGCCTGTAATCTGCCATGGGCCCCTGTACCGCCTCCTCATGCTGCTGCCAGGTCCAGAGTCTCTCATGGGTCCCTGTACGGGCCTCCCATTGCTGCTGTCTCCATCGCCACACTCTGGCCATGTGCCACTTTCAGGTCTCCTCACACACTGCTGGTGTGTTCCATTTTGTCATAGGGTGCTGGCAGATTACGGGCCTCCCATTGCTGCTGCCAGGCCTGTAATCTGCCATGGGCCCCTGTACCGCCTCCTCATGCTGCTGCCAGGTCCAGAGTCTCTCATGGGTCCCCTGTAACGGCCCTCCCATTGCTGACTGTCTCCATCGCCACACTCTGCCATGTGCCACTTTCAGGTCTCCTCACACTGCTTGGTGTGTTCCATTTTGTCATAGGGTGCTGGCAGATTACGGGCCTCCCATTGCTGCTGCCAGGCCCGTTTAATCTGCCATGGGCCCCTGTACCCCTCCTCCTCATGCTGCTTGCCAGGTTCCCCAATTCTCTCATGGGTCCCTGTACACGGGCCTCCCATTGCTGCTGTCTCCATCGCCACACTCTGCCATGTGCCACTTTCAGGTCTCCTCACACTGCTGGTGTGTTCCATTTTTTGTCATAGGGTGCTGGCAGATTACGGGCCTCCCATTGCTGCTGCCAGGCCTGTATTCTGCCCATGGGCCCCTGTACCCGCCCTCCTCATGCTGCTGCCAGGTCCAGATGTCTCATGGGTCCCTGTACGGCCTCCCATTGCTGCTGTCTGTCATGGGCCCCCATCGCCACACACTCTGCCATGTGCCACTTTCAGGTCACCCTCACACTGCTGGTGGTGTTCCATTTTGTCATAGGGTGCTGGCAGATTACTGGGCCTCCCATTGCTGCTGCCAGGCCCGTATGTTAATCTGCCATGGGCCCCTACCGCCTCCTCATGCTGCTGCCAGATCCTAGTCTCTTTCCTCATGGGTTGGTCCCTGTACGGCCTCCCATTGCTGCTGTCTCCCGCCACACTAACTGCCATGTGCCACTTTTCAGTCTCCTCACACTGCTGGTGTGTTCCATTTTGTCATTAGGGCTGGCAGATTACGGGCCTCCCATGCTGCTGCCAGGCCTGTAATCTGCCATGGGCCCCTGTACCCCTCCCATCGCCTCCTTCAGCTGCTGCTGTCCAGAGTCCTCAATGGTCCCTGTACGGCATGCCATTGCTTCTGTCTCCATCGCCACACTCTGCCATGTGCCACTTTCAGGTCTCCTCACACTGCTGGTGTTTCCATTTTGTCATAGGTGCTGGCAGATTACGGGCCTCCCATTGCTCTGCCAGGCCCGTAATCTGCCATGGGCCCCCGTACCCCCCTCCTCATGCTGCTGCCAGGTCCATAGAGTCTCTTCATGGTTCCCTGTAACGGCCATCCCCATTGCTGCTCGTCTCCATCGCCACACTCTGCCACATGTGCCACTTTCAGGTCTCCTCACACTGCTGGTGTGTTCCATTTTGTCATAGGGTGCTGTCAGATTACGGCCTCCCATTGCTGCTGCCAGGCCTGTAATCTGCCATGGGCCCCTGTACCCCGCCCTCCTCATGCTGCTGCCAGGTACAGAGTGTCTAATGGTCCCTGTACGGCCCCCAATTGCTGCTGTCTCCATCGCCACCCTCTGCCATGTGCCACTTTCAGGTCCCCTCACACTGCTGGTGTGGTTCCATTTTGTCATAGGGTGCTGGCAGATTACGGGCCTCCAAATTCTGCTGCTGCCAGGCCTGTAATCTGCCATGGGCCCCTGTACCCCCCGCCCCCATCATGCTGCTGCCAGGTCCAGAGTCTCTCATGTGGTCCCTGTAACGGGGCCCCCCATTGCTGCTGTGTCTCCATCGCCACACTCTGCCATGTGCCACTTTCAGGTCTCCTCACACTGCTTGGTGTGTTCCATTTTGTCATAGGGTGCTGGCAGATTACGGGCCTCCCATTGCTGCTGCCAGGCCCGTAATCTGCCATGGGCCCCCGTACCCGCCTCCTCATACTGCTGCCAGGCCCAGATCTCTCTCATGGGTCCCTGTACGGCCTCCCATTGCTGCTGTCTCCATCGCCACACCTGCCATGTGCCACTTTCAGGTCTCCTCACACTGCTGGTGGGTTCCATTTTTTGTCATAGGGTGCTGGCAGATTACGGGCCTCCCATTGCTGCTGCCAGGCCCGTAATCTGCCATGGGCCCCCCGTACCGACTCCTCATGCTGTGACGTTTGCAACAAGGTGGAATTCAACCCTACATATGTTAACCGCCTTTTACGAACAGCGAAAGGCCATCACCGATTTCCTGATGTTACAAGCGGATAAAGGTACTCCCCTGTGTAACTTAGATTGTCAGCCATAGGCAGCTCATGCGTGACACCTGCCGCTTGCTCAGGCCCTTTGAGGAGGCCACGCTATTCGTGAGTCGGCAGGACTATGGGATGAACGACGTCATTCTCTGTTTGCACGTCCTGGAACAAATGCTGTTAACAATGGCTGGTCAGGGTGCGGTAGACTTGGCGCACAGATCTCAACGGCCACATGACCCCTGTGGGGGCAGGACCAGGAAGAAGAGGAGGAGGTAGAGGAGGACATTGGTGCTCAGGAATTATTGAGTGAAATGGGTGGTTTTTTCCACTCAGCGGACAGGCAGTGGAGGAGCAGGAGCATCTGGTAGAGGAGGAGGAGGAGACAGAGGACCCAGACGCACCGTGGCAGTATGCTGTGGAGATGGAGGCAGGGAGTCCCTCCATTCCTTGGCACAAAATGGCCCATAGCATGCTCGGTTAGCTTGCGTAGCGTCAGCCGAATAATAACCATCAGACAGAGGGATTGACTTTTGGCTGTCCACCTGTTGGACCCTCGCTACCGTTCAAAAATGGTGGCCTTTTTCACACCTGCTGAGAGGGAGGCCAAAATAACCGTACTATAAAAACCACCTATGTAGTCAGTTTGGGTCTCTTGCCTTTCTGCGCCAACGTCCATCCTCAGACACTGTGGGCCCTGTGCAACTCGCGTTCCGCTGCCATGGCAGCAGGGAGGGGTGCGGTGGTAGGGGAGCAGTGGCAGCTCCACCAGCAGCAGCTGCCTCATGCTGCAGTCGATGAGAGTATATGTCTTTCTTCACCAGCGCAGTGAGGAAACTACTAACCAGCCCGCAGCAGCAGCAGCATCAGTGAACCTGGAGGCAGGACAGGCCTCAAACAACAGGCTCGGGCCTACTTGGACAGCACCTGCCCAACCAAGGTAGACAATCCCCTTGACTACTGGGCAACGAAACTTGACTTCTTTGGCCCCAACTAGCTGAATTTTTGCCCTTGAAAGGCTGTCATGCCCGGCCAGTAGCGTGGCATCCGGAGCGCGTGTTTAGTGCGGCAGGAGGTATTGTAACTCCGCGGAGGACACGACTGTCCACCCAAAGTGTGGAGAGACTTACGTTTGTTGAAAATGAATTCAGGCGTGGATTAGTCTGGATTTCAAACCACCAGCCATTCCTGACACAACTGACTAAATCCGCCATGAATCATGCCCCAAACATGTTTCGTTATTTTTAACATAGGCCTCTGTATGGCCTTCCATTTAAGCTGCTTACGCTTCGCCCACTCTGCCATGGGCCCCCTGTACCGCCTCCTCTTGCTGCTGCCAGGTCCAGAGTGTGTCATGGGTCCCTGTACGGCCTCCCATTGCTGCTGGTCCTCATCGCCAGACTCTGCCATGTGCCACTTTCAGGTCTCCTCAACACTGTTGGTGGGTTCCATTTTGTCATAGGGTGCTGGCAGATTTACGGGCCTCCCATTGCTGCTGCCAGGCCCGTAATCTGCCATGGGCCCCCGTACCCCCCTCCTCATGCTGCTGCCAGGTCCAGAGTGTGTCATGGGTCCCTGTACGGCCTCCCATTGCTGCTGTCTCCTCCATCGCCACACTCTGCCATGTGCCACTTTCAGGTCTCCTCACACTGCTGGTGTGTTCCATTTTTTTGTCATAGGGTGCTGGCAGATTACGGGCCTCCCATTGCTGCTGCCAGGCCCGTAATCTGCCATGGGCCCCCGTACCGCCTCCTCATGCTGCTGCCAGGTCCAGAGTCTCTCATGGGTCCCTGTACGGCCCCCCATTGCTGCTGTCTCCATCGCCACACTCTGCCATGTGCCACTTTCAGGTCTCCTCACACTGCTGGTGGGTTCCATTTTGTCATAGGGTGCTGGCAGATTACGGGCTCCCATTGCTGCTGCCAGGCCCGTAATCTGCCATGGGCCCCCCGTACCGCCTCCTCATGCTGCTGCCAGGTCCAGAGTGTGTCATGGGTCCCTGTACGGCCTCCCATTGCTGCTGTCTCCATCGCCACACTCTGCCATGTGCCACTTTCAGGTCTCCTCACACTGCTGCTTGGTGAGTTCCATTTTGTCATAGGGTGCTGGCAGAATTACGGGCCTCCCATTGCTGCTGCCAGGGCCCGTAATCTGCCATGGGCCCCACCGTATTAATGTACCGCCTCCTCATGCTGCTGCCAGGTCCAGAGTGGGGTGTGTCATGGGTCCCTGTACGGCTCCTCCATTGCTGCTGTCTCCATTGCCACACTCTGCCATGTGCCACTTTCAGGTCTCCTCACACTGCTGGTGAGTTCCATTTTGTCATAGGGTGCTGGCAGATTATGGGCCTCCCCATTGCTTCTGCCAGGCCCGTAATCTGCCATGGGCCCCCGTAGTACCGCCTCCTCATGCTGCTGCCAGGTCCAGAGTGTCTCATGGGTCCCTCTACGGCCTCCCATTGCTGCTGTCTCCATCGCCACACTCTGCCATGTGCCACTTTCAGGTCTCCTCACACTGCTGGTGGGTTCCATTTTGTCATAGGGTGCTGGCAGATTACGGGCCCTCCCATTGCTGCTGCCAGGCCCGTAATCTGCCATGGGCCCCCGTACCGCCTCCTCATGCTGCTGCCAGGTCCAGAGTATGTCATGGGTCCCTGTACGGCCTCCCATTGCTGCTGTCTCCATCGCCACACTCTGCCATGTGCCACTTTCAGGTCTCCTCACACTGCTGGTGGGTTCCATTTTGTCATAGGGTGCTGGCAGATTACGGGCCTCCCATTGCTGCTGCCAGGCCCATAATCTGCCATGGGCCCCCGTACCGCCTCCTCATGCTGCTGCCAGGTCCAGAGTATGTCATGGGTCCCTGTACGGCCTCCCATTGCTGCTGTCTCCATCGCCACACTCTGCCATGTGCCACTTTCAGGTCTCCTCACACTGCTGGTGGGTTCCATTTTGTCATAGGGTGCTGGCAGATTACGGGCCTCCCATTGCTGCTGCCAGGCCCGTAATCTGCCATGGGCCCCCGTACCGCCTCCTCATGCTGCTGCCAGGTCCAGAGTGTCTCATGGGTCCCTGTACGGCCTCCCATTGCTGCTGTCTCCATCGCCACACTCTGCCATGTGCCACTTTCAGGTCTCCTCACACTGCTGGTGGGTTCCATTTTTGTCATAGGGTGCTGTATGGCCTCCCATTGCTGCTGCCTCCACCGCCACACTGTGGCTCCACACTCTGGTTTTGGCCCCGTGACTGCCCAAATGAGTGAAGTGTGCGGTGATTCTAAGATCGACGGCACTCATCTGCATGTCATACTGACTGACAATATTATTTCTCTTCCCCAGCAGACTCCAAGGGCATTTAAATTAAAGGTACAGTGTTCTGCACTAATATAAAGGCTCTCTGAAGCCTAGAAACCCTTTTTATAAGTTAAATTCGCAGCGAAAATATTCGCATCGAATCGAATTTATTCCTCGAATTCGCCGAATCAGCCGAATCGAATTTTTGAATACTTCGCTCATCTCTTTTCAAGACGTAAATGCTGAACATTAATGATGCCAGACCAACATGGCATGAGGTTTCTGGAGAGACTGGAAGAAGGCATGTTCAGAAGGAAAAAAGGAAAGGAAATAAATACTGAAAATCCTAATCTTGCAAGGATTTACTTTGTTTTACTCTGTAGATCACCTGCAGGGGGGAGTTCAAAAGCTGTGACCCTTTGCATGGAAGCAGCGGTCTCTTTGCTGTGGTCTCACATGGTTCCTGCTGGGGCAGATCTACAGCAAAGCTTACACTCCTTTAGAAATCCTCAGAGCCTTGAACTGACTTTAGGATTAATTCTGTGAATTTGTGACATACAAGGAAGTACCTAAAAAGGTCTGTTAAATTTGTTTTAGATTAAATGGTAACTCCACTTTCGTTTGAAAAAAGCAAAAAAAAAAAAAATAATATAGTGTATACAATTGCGATGCAAGTCACATTGTAATTGAATGTTATTACAAATTACCTTTCCTTTTTCAATCTGCAGCGCTGTAATGTTTTTGTAAAATGCAATGCAATATGCTTATCTGGAGGCATTCTGTGCACAGAAGATGTACAGAACACCCCCCAGAAATATAATTTCCTCCGTGTGTGATTGGCTCACTGATTTTCCCAGAAATTTGCACTAAGATACAAGTCAGAAGTCAGGCATCCCCTGCAACAGAAATGTCATTTTTAGTGAGATACTCCCAAAGGGCAATCCCATTTGAAGGGATGCAGATCTTGCCACTTTCATCCTTAGAGCCCTGTATGAAATCATTCCCATACAGATTCACTCTGCACATGGACACAGATAAACAAACATCTACTTCAGAATAACAAAAGGTAGGAATATGCAAAAAAGTTTGTTAAAACCCATGCAATGTACATCGATCACCCAGAGAGGAATGTTTTTTTATCAGCAAAAGTGGAGTTACTCTTTAATTGTCAAGTTGATGAGCTCTGCATGGATGTTAAATGGCTGTCATCCAATACCAATGATTTGGGGTACACAAGCCCTGGCAGATATCTGCCATAGAAAAGGAAATTGGCTGTGCTGGAATTCTCTTCCGTGCAGACTATGAATCCTCTACAGCAGTGTTTTTCAACCTTTTTTGTGCAAAGGCACACTTTTTTCATGAAAAAAATCACGAGGCACACCACCATTAGAAAATGTTAAAAAAATTTACCTCTGTGCCTATATTGACTATATATAAAGTAATTCTCTTGAATAGGAATCAAACACAAAGAAATTATTTTATAATTACTTTATTATGAAATAATAAAGTATTTTATAATTGGACCCGGGGGCCGGACCAAGAGTAGATGAATGATGTGTATGTGTCATCCATAGTAAGTATAGTAATATTCCCCCATAGTAAGCATAGTAATTAATCCCCCATATAGTAATTCATCCCCCATAGTAATTAATCCCCCATATAGTAATTCATCCCCCATAGTAATTCATCCTCCATATAGTAATTCATCCCCCATAGTAATTCATCCCCCATAGTAATTCATCCCCCATATAGTAATTCATCCCCCATAGTAATTCATCCCCCATAGTAATTAATCCCCCATATAGTAATTCATCCCCCATAGTAATTAATCCCCCATATAGTAATTCATCCCCCATATAGTAATTCATCCCCCATAGTAATTCATCCCCCATATAGTAATTCATCCCCCATAGTGTAATTCATCCCCCATAGTGTAATTCATCCCCCATAGTAATTCATCCCCCATAGTAATTCATCCCCCATATAGTAATTCATCCCCCATATAGTAATTCATCCTCCATATAGTAATTCATCCCCCATAGTAATTCATCCCCCATATAGTAATTCATCCCCCATAGCAATTCATCCCCCGTATAGTATTTCATCCCTCGTATAGTATTTCATCCCCCGTATAGTATTTCATCCCCCGTATAGTATTTCATCCCCCATATAGTATTTTTCATCCCCCATATAGTATTTCATCCCTCATATAGTATTTCATCCCCCATATAGTAATTCATCCCTCATATAGTATTTCATCCCTCATATAGTATTTCATCCCCCCATATAGTATTTCATCCCCTCATATAGTATTTCATCCCTCATATAGTATTTCATCCCCCCATATAGTATTTCATCCCTCATACAGTAATTCATCCCTCATATAGTAATTCATCCCCCATATAGTATTTCATCCCTCATATAGTATTTCATCCCCCATATAGTATTTCATCCCTCATATAGTAATTCATCCCCCCATATAGTATTTCATCCCCCCATATAGTATTTCATCCCCCCATATAGTATTTCATCCCTCATATAGTAATTCATCCCTGATATAGTAATTCATCCCCCATATAGTATTTCATCCCCCCATATAGTATTTCATCCCTCATAAAGTAATTCATCCCTCATATAGTATTTCATCCCCCACAGTACTATTCCCCCCCCCCCCCCCCTTCTAGTAAGCCAAGTCCCCCGTGTCAATTCACTTACCTTTTGCGTTCCTCTCGCTGTCTTCCCGCGCCGTTCGGGTCTTCAGGGCGGACTGTGAGAGGAGCCTAGCTCCCCTCCCCTCACGTTCGGCACGCTGCCCCGCCTACACACATCCTGACAGCCACATCCGCAAGCCGGATTAAAAGGTCCGCGCGGACTTTTGGGGCTGCCAACCGAGAGGAGGCAGGGGAGCGGCCGACCGAGAGGAGGGAGGGGAGCAGGCGCCCGGCACACAGAAGAGCCGCATTAGACTGGGTAAAGAGCCGCATGTGGCTCGCGAGCCGCGGCTTGCCGACCACTGAATCATTAGATTCTAATGATTGGTCTATTTGTGAGCCGAAGCCACATGTTACAGATGAAATTGGAATTTTTCCCACGGCACACCAGACAATATCTCACGGCACACTAGTGTGCCGCGGCACAGTGGTTGAAAAACGCTGCTCTACAGCACAGGTGGCAAACACAAGGCCCGCAGGCCAAATCCATCCAACCAGGCATTGTTGTGTGGCCCGCAAATGGACGCCAGCTGCCACCTCCCAGCTCTTTCCCACTCTTACCGATGTCACTTGTAAACACAGAAACCTTCTGTGATAGTTGTGTTCTCAGCAGCTCCTGGATCCCTGAAGGCTCAGGGCAGTGCTCACTGAGGGGCACAGCAGGTACAGATCTAACAGAAGAATCTCCCTACAAGATGGCAGAAATGAATTCCGTTGTACTGGGGCCGTACACTCTGCCTACACAGGTAGTACAGCCCAATACACAGGGAGGGAGCCGCTTAGTAGAGATTGGAGGAAGCTTTGGGGAGGGGGGGTTAGGGTGGTGGAGATGTCAAGCAATTTGTGTGCAGAGGTGGGGGGATGGGGGGGAGTGGTGGGTGCAGAGTTCAGAACCCAGGAGGATGGGTGAAAATAAGATGTTGCACACTATGCATAGTGCATCCCTAAATTCTGCCCTCTGTACATAGTGTACCCCTAGACCCTACAATCTGTACACAGCAACCCCTGAATCCTGCACTCTGTACACAGTGCACCCTTAACCCTGCACTCTGTACATAGCACACCCCTAAACCCTGCAGTCTGCACACAGCGCACTTCCGAACCCTGCACTCTGCACACAGCACACCCCTAAACCCTGCACTCTGTTCATAGCGCACCCCTAAACCCTGCACTCTGTACATAACACATCCCTAGACCCTGCACTATGTACAGTACACAGTGCACTCCTAAACCCTGCACTCTGTACATAGCACACCCTTAGACCCTACACTCTGTACACAGTGCACCCCTGAACCCTTCACTCTGCAAACAGTACATCCCTAAACTCTGCACTCTGTACACAGCGCACCCCGTAAACCCTGCATTCTGTATGTAGTGCACCTCTAAACCCTGCACTCTGCACATAGTGTACTCCTAAACTCTGCACTCTGTACATAGCGCATTTCCAAACCCTGCAGTCTGTACATAGCGCACTCCTAAACCCTGCACTCTGTATGTAGCACACCCCTGAACCCTGCGCTCCAATAAAGTAAATACTTAGTCTTACAGATACAATTGGCCCACTGAGGACAACCACTGATGAAGCAGCCCCTGATGAATTTGAGTTTGACACCCCTGCTCTACAGCAAAACTACTGCTCTCATGACCCTGCATACAAGTAGGATAAGAGTATCTATGCAGTTTTTAGTCTATAGAAGAGCTTTGGGAAGATTCCTACATTTTGCTACTTTCAAAATAAATACACGGACTGTTGTCCACTATAGCTGAGTGCACATGTAATCAGGCTACTAAAATTGTTAGCAATTGATCAATTAATACACATATGGAACAAACGTCTCCCTATGGAGTGAGGTACCCAAGTAACATGTAAATGAAGTACTGATCATCACAAAATGCTTCAGATACAGTATATGTAGTCAATTGCTACTACTATGTGCTACTCATGTGCCTCACTCCATAGAAATAGATTTTTTGCATAAATGTTGCATTTAAATTTAAAGATTTTAGTAGCATGAAAAACCACCCATGTGCTCCCAGCCTACGAGATAATTTAATATAATAATATATTTTTTTCTTTGCAAAAATTATTTCAAATTTTGCTGTAAATCTCCACAAGTCCAGGGAAAAAAAAAAACAAAAGACAAAGACATCTTCATCCTTATGATTGATGTATATGCTAAAGGAAGGAACAATATTTTCACTTGCAAAGCATATCCCATTGACAAAAGGCAAAATCTGCACCACAAAACCTTAATCTACTTGTCATAATGTACGTTGCAAAATTATATTTAGCTAAGAGTACCAAACAAACACTTGCCTGGTGCAGATAGTGTTGGTTTAGTAGGATGGGTACCTGAATAAGAAATCCTGTTCAGTATATAACAC